ACTTTACACGGTGGTGGCTCCCCTTATCATCGTGTGATAAGAGGAGGAGGAAGGGCGTGTGGGGTGCCATGAGCAGCCCCGCATACCTTTTCTTTCACCGGTGATTGCCAGCACAATGGCAGGACCTGAAAGGGCGATGGAAAGAGGTCTATTGTCACATTTCCACTTAGACTGGAGCCTTGAGCTCTTGAAATTAAATATTGTTAAGGATATACACAGGACAACATTTGTTCCTTTCTCTTCATATGATCTAAGTTCATGTAATCTGTGAGGCATTCCCTGGAAAGTTACATTTAGTCTGTAACTTTTAAGCCACGTATTTTTGAACCATGATTGGTTGAATGCATGGATACAGAATACAGAATACAGAATCTGTAAATATGAAGGGCCGGCTGTGCCGTTACAGTTTGTTGTTACCTGGAGAAGACAGTCAGTTGCTTCAGAGGCTGGTTGATTATTCCTGTATGAAGCTAGCTCAGTGATTTATTTCTATAACAAAGCCAATGGCTTGCATACTAATAAGAGATGGGAGGACAGTGAGAAAAGGTGAAGCTGACAATTTTTTATTAGATTTCCTCACCAATTGTCCTCCAAAGTTGTTGCACTTTTCAGTTCTAATAGTACATCGAAGCATATATTAAATGCTTCTAGCTTACATATTTCACTTTGATGTCAGCATTTGTTAAATTTATAGTTTATCGTTTCAAGGCCAAATTAGATAGTGGGAGAAACGCATCTCATGTCCAATGTTGCTTTTAATAAAGAAAGATGTTCCATGCAGGAATGGAACCTGATCCAGGCAAAGTCTGTTGTGTTCTATTTTTGGCCCTGAGCAAAACTATTCATTATTATTCATCCAAGGGATTTGGTCTTCACCTCTTGATCCATTGAGTCACCCAGGACAACACAAAATTGCCTTTCACAAGATTAAAAACTGACATGAGCTTCAATAACTATTTTAATTCAACATTATCTAGACTGCAAAGGGGCCCCCTGGTGGCACAGCAGGTTAAAGCGCTGAGCTGCTGAACTTGCTGACCAAAAGGTTGGCAGTTCAAAACCGGGGAGCAGGGTGAACTCCTGCTGTTAGGCCTAGCTTCTGCCAACCTAGCAGTTCGAAAGCATGCAAATGTGTGTATATTGATAGGTACCGCTTCTGCAGGAAGGTAATGGTATTCCTTGACCTTGGAGGTGTCTACAGACTGCCCTGGATCTTTGGCTTAGAAATGGAGATGAGCACCACCCCTCAGAGTTGGACACGACTAGACTTAATGTCAGGGGAAATCTTTACCTTTACCTAGACTGCAAAGGAAGAAAAAAAATCAAGCAATTTATTTGGTATTTTTACTTATTTATTTACTTATTTATGACTAGAAAAATAATGTTTCCTGCAAATAATTGCAGTCAACAATGAATTTGTTGAAAACAGCTTGTCACAGGGGTTGTCAGAGTTTTACTGTCTCCAGCTGTAAACGTCGGGAGCTATGTAGAGAGAGATTTTGGGAAAAAGATGGACCTACATGCTACCATCCCATTATTTCTGTCTCCTATCATGCAGCCCAGACAGGGAGTTTGAGAACCAGCATCTGGCTTCTGAGTGGTCAAAGCAGAGAGAAGACAGACTGGTCCAAATTGCTATGCCTTACCGGGACGTCCATCAAGCTTTGTGTGTGGGCAGACTGAAATTATTCAATGGTTTGGAACAGGAATATTCCAAAACAGACAGCAATGAAGAAATAGGGATCTACTCATTTGGTTGTTGCGAGGTTCTGGCGTGAGTTGTTCCAGATGTTCTCTATTTTTCTTCTGTAAAAAGAGACTCTGGTTTTTATTAAAGCAGATAAAATGCAAAGGAGATAATATGGTCATTTATGCATTCAGCTAATACTGTATTTCCTCAGTTCTAAGATGCTCTTTTTCCCCATTATAAACACCTCTAAAAATGGGGTGAGTCTTAGAATTGTGGGTGCTATCTATGTATATACAAATCAAGCTTTTTCCCACTTTTGGTGGTATTGAAACTAGTGTGTGTCTTTACAATTGATGGCACCTTAGAATCAAAGAAATACAGTACCCTTTTAAAGATGATAATAAAAGCTGTTATAAATTTTTAAGGAAAATGTTTTCCTAGGAAGAAAAAATAATGAAAACCAGATTTCGCGTGCCTGCTTCAAAGAATATTTTCCTGCCACAGTCAGGTTTCTCACAACTCTTTAGTAATTTCATTTTGAGTCAAGGCCAGCCAAACTGCATCCCAGAATATTGAAGGAAATTGCTGACATGTTCACACAGTCATTTGCCATCATTTTTTGAGAAATCTTAGATAAAGGGTTCTGTCCGAGCTCTTCAACATTTTGATCAATGTTTTAGAATACATAACGGAGAAAACCTTAACAAATTTGTGGACCATGCAAAATTGGAAGTGGTCGCTAACGCATTGGAAAACAGGAACAAAATTCCAAAAGACCTCAATGAACCAGAAAGCTGGGCTGAACTTAATAAAACAGAACATAATAGACACAAATGTATAATGTTAAAGAATTTAGGACACAAAAATCAAATTCACAGCTTCAGCAGTACTACAAGTGAAAAGCCTTTGAGATTTTTTTGTTAATCATAAGTTAAACATGAGTCAGCAATGCCTTGCTGCAGCAAAGGAAACAAATGCTATCTTAGCCTGCATTTAATAGAGCCATAGTTTCCAAGTCAAAGGAAGCAATAGTTACACTATATTTTGCACTGGTCAATACACATCTTCTGTTCTGGGTGCTTTGTTTAAAGGGCATACGCAAGTTGGAGCATGTTTAGAGAAATGCAGCAAGAATGCTAAGAGAAATGGAAAGGAGGTTGAAGGAGCTGGGCATGTTCAACTTAGTCAAGAGATTGAGGGGTGTTATGATCACACTCTTTAAACACCAGAAACAGGGTGCTGGCTTGTTTACTATTTACTGCTGAAGGTAGAAATAGAGCTGACCTGAGTCCCCCTGGGGAGATGGAGCAAGGTATAAATAAAATTATTATTATTATTAACTAGCTCTAATGGTTTTGTTATAGGATACTAGATTTCAACTAAACATTTAAAGGAATGCCTTGACACACGAGTAGTTTGGTAGTGGAACCAATTGCCTAGGAAGGCAGGTCCAGGCTATAGCTCAGCTGGTAAATCACCACCAGCAGCAATAAAATCTACCAACCAAAAGGTTGCCCATTCAAAGCATGGGTCAGTGTGAGCATCTGACTATCAGCTCAGCTCACTGTTCACCTAAGCAGTTTGAAAACAGCTTAGAGCTGTAAGTAGAGAAATTAGGTACTGCTAAAAAGTGGGGAAGGTATGACACCATAAAAGACCAGAAATGCCTCGATCAAATGGAAGAAGTCCTGATGACTCTTTGTCATCAGGAGGACAGTCCCCTCCTGTGGCTAGATTTGAGCACAACCTCCAAGGTGCCGAAAAGCTGGATGTCGACACAGCATACCTCCTTTCTGTCTGTTCTATCCTTGTCTGTCCAAACGACATTGAATGTTCGTCATGTATGTGTACTGTGTTCCACACCGAGTCCCCTTGGGGAGATAGGGCAGAATATAAAGTGTTAATAAAGGGTTAAGGTGGTGAGGTTATTTTCTTTGGACTTCTTCAGAACGAGGCTAGAGAGCTGCACGCTGAGGATGCTCTCACTGGAGATCCTGCATTAGAGAGGCTGACCTGATGGCTTGTTGGGATTCATTCCAGCTCTATGATTCTGATTCTTTGTGAACAAACTGTTCCGAATGGAAATTGTATGTCTCGATAGCTGCAATTTCCCCTTGCATGATGATGAGAGCATTCTTGAAATTAGTTTTCAATTTTGCAGGAAACACAGTAGTGGCACTGGATGCTAATTGAAGAAAAGTCTGGGTGAGTTTTCCAGGTCTTTCACAGATCTGGCATTCAAAGTCAAAATATAAATTAATAATGCTGATCCAGGTCTCCAATGCCATGCAGATTAGTTATAGAACTAGTAAAATGGCCCAGCATATACAAGTGCAAATTAAGAGTTGGCAGTGACTGGTGATACTTATGTCAGATGTGTTTGTCAGTTCTGAATTTTATTCCAGGTTGCAATGGAAACATTTAAGGTGTTTATTTTGCAACACCTTTATTCACTTCATTTGAATTTATATAATTATGCTATGCAAATGTCACCTATGCTGTTTAATGGGCTATAGCAGTTGTTTCTAGTCATAATCCTACCATGTTTTAGGAATCACGGATATCTGTGGTTATATATGGAAGCTAAATATTACTTCTGATAGGCTAAATTCATTATTTTAAAGCTTTTATGAATTATTGATATTGACACTCAACTGTCAACTATTTTTACCCCCTAACTCAGCAAATAATTACACACATCTGAGACTAGGCTTGGACACATCTGTCAAGTTCTCATCCCTGTACCAGTTGGGTGAGCAGGCTGTTCACTAAAAGGTTTGGCATAATTGGTTGTAAGAAGAGCACATCTAACAAAATACTCTTTTGTTCATATCAAGCCGTGGCAAGTTAAGGCAACCAAATGCATTTGTCAGAATTCTTCTTGGAAAAATCAAAATATAGATTTGCACTGAATGAAGTATTTCACAAAATTTGTAACCCTGAACCATTTAAATTAAGTGATGGAGTCTTCCTTTTAACACCTGACCTATGTAAGGCTTCTTCCACACATCTATATAAAACTGGATTATATGGCCATGTGGACTCAGATAACCCAGTTCAAAGCAGATATTGTGGATTATCTGCCTTGATATTCTGGGTTATATGGCTGTGTGGAAGGACCCTAAGTGGCTTGTCAGAAGGGCTCTAAAGAATACGTGCTCATACCTTTTTCTTCAGCTTCTTTGCCCCATTCAGAATTAGAATTGTTCATAAAAAAACAAGATTTTGTATTCTTCATCTTGCATCTTCCGCATATTTTTTCCAAACGTTTTGCTTTCTCACATGTAAATAATGACAGTCAAGCACTACATTTGTATCAAAATAATTTTATTCAAGTAGGTATTCAACAAGATCTGATGAAACTACATTACAATTATAGCTCATAGCCAAACAAGTACAAATTTTACTTTGATTTTTGCATTTTAGAACAATTAATCGAAATTTCCTGACATTATTTCTGCCAATGATTATAAAATTGCTCAAATCTGCAGTATGAGTTCATTGAAATATCTTCCGCTGCACATGACTGAATTCAAGTTTATTAAAAGTATCATCATCTGTGTCAGGAGTGAGCTGAATGTTGTTATCTTTGACTGGAGACAATGGCTTTGTTGTTTTACAAGAGGGTAGTTTTTGAGAATCCCTGCAAATTGAAAGGAAACATCCAGGAATAAAGTTGTGCACAGACAGTTCAAATTGAGTTCAGTACCACTGTGATTTTTAAAAGGATCTAATTTATCCTCTATTTAGCATATTAGTGAACTGAACACTGCAGCTGTTTAATTCTTACTTTGAACAGAAATGTGCCCCTAGCCAATTACCAAAATGGGTACAGCCTACACTGCTTCTACTTCCAGCATTTGGAAGTATCTCTACTACTGATAGCAATTTCGTGGTAAGGCACAGGTTTTACATGCAGCAGGCTCCAGAGATGATACTCTATATGCTCAGGCAGGTTTTAGAAAAACTCCTGCTTTCAGTGTCACTAAACTTTTGGTAGATAAAATGAAGGTGTGGCTCAATATATGGTAGCTTCCTGTGCGATTAAAAGTAGACATGAAAAATAAAATGCTTCGCAAGATAATATCCAATTTGGAAATATTGAAAAAAATTGTGTCGAGTGACTTGAGAAACTGCAAGTCGCTTCTAGTGTGAGAGAATTAGCCATCTGCAAGGACATTGCCCAGGGGACACCCGGATGTTTTACCATCCTATGGGAGGCTTCTCTCATGTCCCAACATAAGCTGGAACTGACTGACGGGAGCTCACCCCACTATTGAATTATCCTATCTTAGGGAACAGAAGCTGAATGCTTTGCTCTCATAGATGGCAGGGAAGCAATGGTCAGTCAGCCTCATCTCTGGAACTCCATTAAAAAGTGCTTGATTCATTGGTATGCTTACTGCTATGTAAGCAAAATGAAAATAATAATTTGTGTTAATTACCCATATTTTCTTACAGCTTGAGACAGGACACTATAGTTAATATACATCCATAAAACCACATATTAAAACATAGACATATTAAAATACATGAAACAAATGTTAAAACAGCATGTGATTTTAAAATTCATAGTTAAAACTGACTGGATAGACCTGCTGGAAGAGATAGGTCTTCAGAAGTGTTTTACACTCCGACAGCTAATTTCACAGTCTTGGGGCAGCTGATGAAAAGATCCTCTTGTTGATGGTCACCAGTTGGGTTCTGGCTGGTTGGAGTAGCTACCCCCCAGAGGACCCCAGTGTCCTAAGGTAATATGATGACTCTTGGATGTTCCCGTAACTAGTCTGGTTTCTGTGTTTTGAACTAAGGAGTTTTCAAACATGGTACAGAGGT